CAATGTATAATGTATAATTAATATTAGTTAATAATTTATATTAACAAAAATCTATTAATAATTTATATTCATTAACAATTAATATTTATTAATATTATAAATAATAATAAGAATTACTATTAATGCGGTTTTGACAAAGTGACAATAAGTTACCAAAAACGATATTCAAGTAAAGTTTCGACAAGTTTGTTTATAAGTTAATTTATAAGATATCTATGTGTATTTAAACATGTACCTAAAAAATAAGATAACTTAGTATTATCAAACAATGTTTTATGAAATACGCTTAAATGATATATTTATAAAAAAATAATATTTTATTAAACATATAAAGTATTTTAATAATATAATTAATACTGAATTTTGTTATTATAATTACTTTAAAAAGTTTTAATTTTTTATAATCTATATTACCTTATAAACCAGATTTTTCAAAAGTCTTAAAAACAATTTTTAATACACAAAGTACTATATGTTTATGCATAAAGTCTTAAAAACAATTCATAATGTATTAAGTACTACTACTTTATACATTTAGTTTTAAAATCTCTAAACTACAATTAAAATAACATATAGTGCAAGTTACCATTGCACATTATTACCTTTTTTTTTCATGTTCCCAAGATACTTTTGACACCTTTCACTCATGCTTGATTGTCTTCACCCTTTCATACCTCTATGTTTTCTCTTCATCCCCAAAGGTGAGAATCAAACTAATATTCATTATGAGTTATTAAAAGTTATCTCATTCATCTCTCATTCAATTGCTCTATAACTCTTGGTCTCGCTCTCAATCTCTTGATTCTTTGCTCTTGGTGTAAATCAAACACATTTATAGAGTTGTTTAAATATATCGGATTTTAAACTGTCATACAATTTTTTTCATCGATAGATTGTAATTGGAAACATAACTCTTATTTATTCAAATTGTATTGATATGTAAAGACCAAATGTAACTTATATCATCGTTAAATCTTCTATAATAAAACCAATAAAACTTCAAAATCGTTAAAATTCACAACTTCCACCATATTATACAGATATACAACTAGTACATAAAAATATATATATATATATATATATATATATATATATATATATATATATATACAGGAATAGAGAGATTTTAAATTCGTCAAAGGAATTCGAGTTGCGTATGGGAATTCTATTGTAATTGCAAATCTAAAAAAATTAAGCAGGTATAAATGTTTATTTCGCGTCCGCTCATTCCAGAACCTTCACTTTATTTTCGGACAATAAAAGCCTTCCACCTGGCCAGGGTGGTTCTCTGCTTTATGCATGAAATTCTGAAGTTTCTCGTTCCGAAACGATCCAGAGAGAATTGAAAGTGGGCTTTATCGATCGATTGATCGATCGATCGATCAAATTAATCGAATCCTTGTTCTCGCCTTTGTACTGATCTCGCTTTCATTGCGTAATTGTTAAGGTGAGTAGTTTGATTCCTAGATGGACATGTATATTGATTTTACGTTTGTTGAATCAATTATGTTATTGATTTGTCTAAGCTGAAGCTGAATCGCTGATTTTTCTCTAGTAAATAATTGATTGTTGATTATCCTATGTGATGTTCGTATATCTTACATGGTTAGACCTGGTTTTATTATCTTTTTGATTTTACTTTATCTTCGCACCAATTGTTTCTTGGATTACCTTTTGAAGATCATAAGAAGGTCTAGAGAAATTTATATGAACTTGATTCGTTATCTCGAATGATTTAAATGGTTAGACTGGCGGATTTGTTTAATCCAGAGAATCAACAGTAATTGATTACCTTTTGGGACCTGTCTTGTATTTTGGGCAAAGCGTCCCCACCCTTTTGCCAACTGACCTACGCCCGAGTCCAAACATGTTTGGTACATCTCACCTAGAGGCGTGGTATCGGGTCTGTGTGTGATTTAAGCTGACTACTAGAATACGACGCTTAAAAAGCTAGTCTATAGCAAGCAACAACATACAAATAGGGCAATAGTACTATAAAAACATATCAAGGTAATCGACTACTCTTGATGAACTTATAGATAATATCTTTGTATACAAGCCATAATCATGCTTAAGCCAATTTGGTATGGAGAGGTTCTTTGAAGATTTTAGCATTTTGGTGCGCTGTGCGTCGTGCTGTATTAGGATCAAGGCTCAGCACGTTTTTTCCTCATGAGGTTGTCAAGAGTTTTTTTTATTTGTACTTTATGATCAGTGGAATTCTTGGATACTATGTTCTGCTATGCTCTTCTGATGTTCTGTTGTCCGCAAGATTACGGATGTAATGCAATGTAATGGAAGTTTCCATATAGTTATTTATCTTTTTTTGTTGTTGTTGTGTAGTACTTGTTGCTAATTAAGTTGTTTGATTCCTTTGTTCCCACAGATGTCGTACTCCAGAAGGTCAAGGTATGTTGTTGTGTTTGATCTACAAATTATTATTAAGCCAATTGTGAGGTTATGGCGATCGATAATTCTTTTTGGCTCACGATTGATCGTCCTGCTCCTTAGGTACTCCCCTTCTTCACCACCACATAAGCGTTACGGAAGGTCTGTTACAAGGTCCAGGTCACGTTCTAGGAGTTGGTGAGTGTTATTTACAGTTTCTTAGCTTGAAGATTTAGCTCCTTATTACTTGATGAAGATGTTTGTTCACATTTTCTTAATTTGTTAACATCAAGTTGAATGGTATGCAGGAGCTATGATTCAAGTGACATAGAAAACCCAGGAAACAACCTGTATGTGACAGGTTTGTCGCCACGCATCTCAAAGAGGGATCTTGAGAAGCATTTCTCAGCAGAGGGAAGGGTATGTCTGAAATGTTGTTCGACTGTTTAAGGTCATGTTTGGCAACCATAAACTAACTTATTTTTCAGCTTTTGAAAAAGCTTCGTTTCATTTAAGCCATATCCAGGTCTTTTCTTCCACTTATGCCCTTAAGTTTTCCAATTAATTTTCAACGTGCCTTTGTAAGTCATTTTACGTTGTCATATAGCTTATCTGCTAATTTTTACCAAACATGACTAGTTTATCTGCTAGCTTATTGGCCGGTTATCAAACATAGGCTAATTGTGATGTGGGATAAAGAAATTGTGTGCCAGTGTCTTTGGTTGTAAAAAATTGATAGCGCTGATATTTGCAATTTAAAGCGAAGTTCTTCGGAATTAGATATTGCTTCAGAAAGTCGAATCATGCGATGATAATCATGATCATTTTTTTTTCTAGGTAGAAGATGTTCACCTTGTAGTTGATCCATGGACTCGAGAATCTCGTGGGTTTGGGTTTGTGACCATGTCGAATATCAAAGAGGCTGATCGCTGCATCAAGTACTTAGATGGGTCGGTTCTTGAGGGTCGTGTCATCTCTGTGGAGAAGGTAGTTTTTGCTTTTCTAACGTCGTATCATTTTATTGTTTTCTCACTCGATTGCTGATATAACCTTGATTCTCTCAAAAATTCCGATTGCCCTTTATAGTTATTTAAATTTGAAATTGAAATTGAAAGTTTGTTTCCCGGGTGAAGTGTTTTTTGGTAGCAGGTGGCTATTTGTAGCAGCTCTTCGTCAGAGTTCCAAAGCAAATCTCAGACTTTCAACCCAGAGGGTTGTATGCCCTGCATTTCTCTATTTTTCTTGCACTTATATTTGATATATGAAACTACCACCTTAATATTGATATATATATATATTTGACTTAATGTCATACACAAATGGTTTCCACAACATGGATGTCGATAGTTCTAATGCTTTTAGTCTTTGCAGCTTATACTTTTCTTTTGTTTATGCAGGCTAGGAGGCGGAGAGGTCGAACACCTACTCCAGGGAAGTATCTTGGGCCGAAGAAGGATCATGGTAAGTTGGTCTACTAGTTCGATTTGGATACTTCCCCTTTTAGTATAAGGGGTTGTTTATTGCCTGCTTACCGCCTCTTTTAGTCAGTCAGAGATGCTACTATTTACCAAAAAAAGCTCTTACCAGTCCATGATGCTGACCTAGTAAGCTGAGGGAGAGACTCTACTTGGTCAGTGATAGTGATAAGTGTTGACCCAGATAATATTCTTAGGGGCTGTTTGGTTGATTTTCCATTGAGTCTTGTATGGATTAATCTGTCTGTATAGATTGAGAAGTTTTTTTCATAGATGAAAGGTGCGTGCTTTTTAATTGAGAGGCATAAAGGTCCACCCTAAAAGCTTACTAAGCCATTTTTTAATATTATTAAGCCATTACCAAATTGTCTTGTATAGCTGATTGAATAAGCAGCCAGTCCCATTAAGTTTATAAGTGGTTAGTGATTATCCAATTTGTGTTGGTAAATGCCTCAACTTTCATATTGGGAATCGGAATGGAGGGCACATGATATATGTGATTTCCTATTACTTTGGATGTTTCCGCTTGAGTATCATTCAAAAACTCGTGGTCATTTGTTGCAGTTCGTGGACGATCATCCTCGAGAGATAGGAGCAGGTCTTACTCTCCATATTGTAGTAGCAGGCATCGAAGATCATTCTCACCATACGACAGCTGTGGGAGGTCTTACTCTCGTTCGAGCTCTCCCTACAGTAGATCTCCAGTTGGCAGGCATGACAGATTGTACACCCGAGAGGATCGCTCCTACAGGAGTCGATACTATAGGGATTACTCACCTGACTACAGACGTGATAGGTCTTATACTCCGGAAGATGGTTTGTACCGGAGGAGCCGTATGGATTACTCTCCTGGATATAGACGGTCTTACAGGAGCCGAAGCCGATACTACTCGAGGGATTACTCACCTGATGACAGACGTTATTACAGGAGCAGGCGTTATCGGTCTGTTTCCAGAAGCATTTCTTCTTCCCCACGGGGACGCTATAGGGGACACTCTCCTAGCGTCTCACCAGTTGGCTCAAGAAGAAGATCCTCGATAAGAGTCTCACCACGGACAAGGAGTTCCAGGAGGAGGAGCTACTCCCCAGTATCAAGTCGGAGCTATTCAAGGAGTGTGAGCGTTGGGTCTCGGACTCCTAGTTCGTCTTCAGTGTCTCGTTAAAGAAGGTAAGTTGTGCGTTTATTGATGTAGCTTAGAGTGTGTAGTAATTAATGTGTGATTGATCTCCGTGTTTGGATGGTAGCAGTGTTATGGTGGATGATTATGTTTTTTATGGGTGGTTTTCGATCTGGTGGACATGTAGGTTTTGGGTATTTCACAGTAATTCATGAGACTTAATAAAGAAACTGTGTAATATACTAATATATGGAATGCGTTCCTTGAGAAGCTTAAATTTGCTTTCTTTAGAGGGAGGGGGTGTTTCGGTATTTGTTTATTTAATAAATAAATGAATATAAACAATGATCTTGTTTACATGTATGAATATGTACAAGTTAATATGTAAGAAAGTACTTTATAAAATTCTTTTTTATGCTTTCAAAGTTTACTTTGATCTTCATTTGTTATGTTATTTTTGAATGAAATAATGCGTAACGGTGGTAGTTTTTTGCTGCTTTGATTGTGTTCTTTATGTTCGTTTAGCATACAAACATAAAGGAATGTGAATAAACATATTTTTAGAATAAATATATTGTTGAATGTTTGGCAAAACTTTTATGAGAAACCCATAGGAACATGATGGAATAAAATGGAACAGTCTTGTTCCACTCCCTCTCGGCCTCTCCCATAAAATAAGGTTATTTACTGATAAAACTTGTTTCTTTTCTAAAATATTAAATATACATTTTATTTATTTTTAAATTTTGTTTATTATATTCTATGTTATTTAGACTTTCATTTTATTTTTTTTAATATTATTTTTATGTGATTCTATATTTCTATTAATTTTATGTAATATTTGAATATATATAAGAAAATAATATAGAAAATGTATAAAATAAAATTTATAATATACATAAAGTTTTTATTTTGGTTTTATTTTAGTCGGAGCCAGGCATGATGGGATGGGCGATTGCTTTCATTACCTACTAGAAAGACACCAAATTCTCTTGATGAAACCTTTTAATTTTGTTATAAAAAATATTTATTTTATTATAATTTAATAAATTATATAAACAATTCATTAAGGTAATGTTTGGTACGAAGACATAATTGGACAAGATAGAATTGAACATGATAAGAGGGTAGGACGGGACATGACAAAAGGTAGGATTAAACATGACTGAACGAAATTGGACTGCATATAACAAGTTTATGTCAGGTGTTTTGTACGACTAGGACTGAACGAGACGAACTAGACAAGCGTATGGGGCGGATTTTGTAATCCCTGACCCTGGTTTGTAGTAACATCCCTTGTCAATTCCCAGTTAAACCCCATGAAGAATATCCGTTAGTTTGAGTCTATCGGGGAGTAACATCCCTCGGCCTCGGCCCCAGTTTGAGTCTACCGGGGATCCCTGGCCCTAGGACCCGTTTTAGCAAGGAATCCCCATCCCCCTTTGGGTCGAGTGAACCAGGTTCCCTACCGGGTTGGGGCAAAGCACCATCCCTACTCATTAAGGATAAAATGGTCATTTTATCTGTTTTCTCCGGTCCATTTATGTCTTACCAAACAACAAGCTAATTGAAATTAACTTTCCCCTGAGAGATTCTGTTTTGTCATATCATGTCAGGATCCTAAATGCATTCTTAATGAATGAACATGAACACAAAAAATTTCATTTGTTTGTTCGGTCAAGTTAAACATACAAAGACGAACAAACATCTGCTTTTGTTAGTTTGGTTCGTTTACAACCCTAGACAACGGTATTTTTATCATCTTTAAATAGTTCATATCTATTCTATATTATAAAACATTTGCCTAAAACTCTTAAAAACATTTAGGCGGCGTTTGTTTTTTAAGAGGTGCTGAAGTCTGAAGTCTGAATTCACTTCTGAATTTTAAGAGGTGGTGCTGAAGTCTGAAATCTGAATCAGTAAGACTGTTTGTTTTTACGTCTGAAATCTGAATCAATTCATTTCAATTAAATTTAACTGAAATATCCAATCATTTAAACGAAATTGGTGTTCAAACGATCCAAGCTCACAATGGAAATCAGAAGTGGAATCACTGTTAACATCATGAACTTGATTATGATCGTTTCCAATGCATAATGTTTTTCCATTTCCAATGAAGGAAAAGGGAAGATTGAAGAACCCTAGCTGCTAAGGAACTGAAAGCCCCTGTTTACGCTTGGTTGGTTTAAATACCCATAAATGGTTTGGATTTCTGAAGATGGAGATGGAAAAACATTAGGCATCTCGCAACACTGCCCTAAAATTGACTCGTAATCGAATCCTTCCAATGGCAACCCTAACAACGACCTCCCTGTCGTCCTCTCCAACGCCTGCCGTCGAATCGAAGCAGCCCTAAGGCAGTCCCCAAGCTTCGATTCCGAAGGATTGAACGAAATCGATGCCGAAAAACCCTAGGAGGTAGATGAAGGAGGAGGCAGTGCATCCGATGCTTTAGGAACCGAAGACGGTGATCGATCGACGATACCAACACCGGAGTGGAGAAAGGGTGGGAGGTGGTGTCGGAGTGGTGGCGGGTGGAGGTGGGGTTTAGGGAGAGAAATGGAGGTGGTGGAGGAGGGGAGCGGGGAGGAGAGGTAGAGGAACATGGCGGAGGGTAGGCGAGAGCTTGAGGCGACGCGATTAAGAGGTTTTCAGACTGCATTTTACCTCTAAATAATTCAGATGAAATCAGATGTTTTAAGCACTTAATTTAAAAAAAAAAA